CTATTTTATTTATTTTCCATATTTATTTAATCTACTTATCTTAATTCATCCTAATTAATTAAGCTTACTATTCTGAACTGACTGCCTAAAACTTAACTGTATATAAATGGCCATAATTCCAGACCAGAACTGCCCAAATGAACAGTACGAATACGGTAAATTACGGTTACGACAAAACATATGGGATCTTTGCTAGGAAAATGACCTTCCGAGGCTATGTGGATTTATGAATAAAATTTAAATTTGCCAGCGATCCAGTAATCCTATTTTAATAAACTTTTTTTATTTTATAGAGCCTAACGAACTCCATGAAATAAAAAAAATTTATTGGATCGTTAAATTTTAATCAAATCCACATACCTCAGAAGGTCATTTTTCTAGCAAAGATCCCATATGCCCAAATGCCATACGTATTCGATTATTTTTGCGACTAAAATTTATTACTAGAACTATAATCATTATCAATATACTTAATAAATCTCATGTTTAATATATGTGTAATTAATAATTAATATTGTAACTTAGACATAACGATAATATAAAACTCACAATTCTATTCTAAACAATAACAATTATCATATTTGAATTGCTTGTGGGCGTTATTTCGAAAATTGGCATGCTTCTTGAAATTATGTGATATATTAAGTTCGAGTACTTTTCAAATTGCAAATTCCACGTATCATACACTGGGAATCGAATCTAGAAAAAATGCAAATATATGATTGGTTAAAAAATTAATAAAAAATTTTTAGCCAATCATAGATTTGCATTTTTTTCTCCATGGAATTTGTGATCACAGTAATTTAAGCATTTAAATTACATAATATTTTTCATTTGGTGTGCGAATACATATAAATATGGATGATTATTAATCGGTGGAATTAATCCATGTTCACAAATCATGTTCAAAAATACTTATTCATCAATACTTATTTACTATTACCTACTAAAGTTACGGCTTATTAACTTAATATGTATGCTAGTTAATCAATTTACAAATTTAGTTCTTTTATGGGTTACTATTACGCCAAATTTACAGGTATTTAACTAGTTTTATTTACTGCTTAAATTTGTATATTGTTAAAATTTTTCACTATGTATACGTATATATAAAGAATATGAAAAAAGAGATTTACATAAAAAAAAGAATGCTACGTAGTAAATTAAAAATATAAATAATCAAATAACAATCAATAATACTCGATTTAGAAAGCCAGAAAAATAAGAAAATATGGACCACCTTTTGAATTACTCTTGAACATCTTTATGGTATTTTACTTACAATGATTACAAAAAAATATTGTGTGCTATACCTCTTAAAAAATCAATAAGCGAATAAGTATCACGATTATTAAATACTGATAAAATTCTTTGTTCATAATCAATTATACGTTTACGTTGTCTTGAACGAGGCTCACCACGCAAAACACTTTCGATCTGCAAATCAACTTGTTGTTGTTCCTTTCGCATCTCTTCAATAATTGTATAGTGTTGACATATAGAATATTAAGGAAAAATACAAAATCCTTAATAACTTTTGTTCTATCAATTCAAATTAAAATGAAACAAATGCCATTAGATTCAGCTCATCGAGACAATTCCAACGAATCTAAAATCATTATAATTGGATTACTGTATAC